TGTTTCGACTTACGAAAGCGTTCCAACTTACGAAATTGGCGCGAATGAGCTGCTCTTCCAGTCGGAGCCACAGCCATTCCTTCGACTGATCCTGGAAGCGGAAGAATCCTCCGCTTACAGGATCAGCCCATAGAATAGCCGAGGCTGCGGCTGGAAGAAGGTGGCCTTCCAGCCGCAGCCTCGGCTATTCTATGGGCTTGGAACGGATTTAATGAATGTTAAATTTGCTTCTACTTACGAAATTTTCTACCTATGAAATGGGTTGTGGAACGAATTAATTTCGTAAGTAGAGGTACCACTGTATTTTAAGAGTGCTGCTAATGGTCTAAAGGACAAATACAGATCAAAGCTTGAAAATAACATGTCGCAAGGTAATGCATTAGTACAACTTAATCCTTTTGGGAGGACCGAGTACAGTATACAGTCATTTTCAAAGGGAGCACTGAAAGGCTGCAATGTATTATTTTTCAGAACCATGAGAATAAGGGTATTCCTTGGTATTTATTAACCGGAATGTGGCCTTACTATGATTGGGGAGAAGGAATAATGACTAGCCTGACTTCTCCTGCTGCTGACTCATGGCAGAGGAAGAGTGAAAGCAACACTAAATGTGGTGAGGTTAAGAGAGACAGAAATATGTTGTATTGGGAAACAGAATAATCAAGATGAGAGTAAATGAAGCTGGAATGCACCAGTGTAGCCAGTAAACTCAGGGCAGGCATAGGGATGGGCAAATGCAGCCCCTGGCCCCCACTTTTGTGGTCCCTGAAGCTTCACACCATTTAAAAATATTTTTATGGAATTTATATTTTATTAAGGTTAAAAACATACACTACAACAACAGCAAAAACAACAACAACAACATACAGACAAGCAAGGAAACAAACATATATACATACATTTAACCTTATTAGCGACTTCCTGAACTTCGTTCTGATTTAGTTTGTTCTACCATAAACGTTCTGACTGACCATAAGTCAATATTAACTTTATCCTCAACATAGTATAATGGAGTATAATTAACTAAGTGTTTATTAAACTTAACTAAGGTTAATGTAATTAAAATTATTACATTATTTAACATAACAATTTCTTAATTAAATCTTATGTTTTTATCTCCCAGCATACTCTCTTAAAATAACATCTAACTAATCTTTCCCTTTCTTTTGCAGGTACACCAACAATGGTTCCCAATCAACTTTCTCTTCTTCCCAAGAGTTCCCTCTCAACAATAAGGTGAGTTCATCTATATAACCTACTAATTTGTCCAACCATTCTTTATCATTTGGGCAGCTCTTCTTCTTCCATTATTTTGCAAACAATACATGAGAAGCAGTGGACATATAAAATAAAAGTTTGCCATACCTATTTTCCAAGATCTCATTCAAACTATACTCAACAAATAAAACTTGGGGTCAAAGTTCAGATTACTTTCCAGCACCTCTTTTACTAAACCGTGGCCCCATGCCACTGGCCCCATGCAGTTGCCCACCCCTGCAATAGACAATACCATGGATACCACTTGTAGCACCATGCAGAGTTACATTTGCAGAGTAACATCTCAGGCTCTGGTATTCATGGCTTAGAAGAATCTCACTGAAGTAAGATTAGTAAGTGGCAGCTGGATAAGCTCAAATTACAAGAGAGTAACATACTGTAAACATTGGTCTCCATCGCCAACATATGTTTCTGAAGTTACCTTAAAGGTCCTACAAGTATATATGATTAAAGGACTAAGGACAGATGAATATAACCTAGTACTTTATCTCCTTTTCTATTTCTGATTTCTTTTTTATTTTACCTGATGTTCTAATTGTGGGTTGGAGATACAGAAGGGAGGAATAAACAGTGAGTTGAATCTGAATTACAGAAATAATGCTGCATTTTTAGATTGTTTTAGGGAAAGTAAGAATATACTATTAATAATTTATTAAACATCAGCACCTCATTTTCAGAGTAATGTACACATAAGCACACAATTACTTTTTTCAAGTTATAAGTATTAAAACAACATAAAAGCATTCGTCATTTATACCACCACAGAGAACAATACTCTAGATGTCTAAATTCCACATACCAAGCACAACAGCCAAGAATATGTAAAGTGAGAAGTTCCCAAGTATAAAATACTAAAGTGACTGAAAATGCTATGTCATTATAAAAGTTCCAGCTTGATGTAA